TGGTGTAGGGAGGAATTATTTTTGTTAATATTGTGGAATACAATAAACCCTTTGAAGACATATTACACGTCTGTATGAGTGACTTAATTTTTTTTTTTACATCAGAACATGCAATATAAATTGCTCAGTCCTACACAATTTGCAAACTACTACCACAGTGGCTATATTTGTTGAGGATTATTATTATATTGTTAAAATAATCTGTTCAAATTTAACCTTCTCATGACTAGTAAAGCTGTATGCTTGCAATGGCTATAATTGCCATGATAAAACCATGGGCTAGAATTCTTCCATCGACCTTATGCTGTCAATGCTAGGTCACCTTAGGTCTGCTTGAATGCAGTTGAGTGGTGGGGGTGGAGGAGAGAGGGAAAGTTAATGACAGCCTTTAATTGGTTATTAATAAAAATAAACAATTAAATCATGTGCCAAGACTGTGCCTCCCCCTCTCTTAACTTTTAAAAAAAATAATTTAAAACATGCCAAATCAATATATTGCCAAACAAACCCAAGATTATTTTTTTCCAGTTTGGCTCTTGCATCTCGTCTTACTCATTGACACAGAGTAACTCTCTACCTTTAAAGATAACTGGACTTGCCTCTATTATTTGAAATTCAGACAAAACCAAAACAAGAGGCAGAGACATAGACAATTTTTTTTCTACATAGCTAAGTCAGATAGCATATCCTACCTTTGCCCAGGGTAATCCCTCACTTTTATGAGCACTAGAATTTACCCACAAACAGAATCATGAAATGTGAAGTAAAGTTATTAGTAAATAAGGATAATTTAAAAATATGAATATGTCTTATGATAATTATTGAAGTTTCCTGGTTAACCCATTTAAAAAGTCAAAATTAATCAACAATATCGGCAATATCACAGTTATTTCTCTGTTCTTTGAATAGAAAATAATTAGTATCTCAGATAATAACTGTTGGCAAATGTTCACTTTTTATGCTGATCACTGCATTTGCCTCTTTTCTTGGTGACTAGTACTTTACTGGAATTTTGAATTCTTGTGTTGTGCAACTGTCATCTTATAAAGTTTGACAAATGGCTGAATTTGGTCCTCTGCCCATTAAAGTAAATTCATTCAATTTCCATTAAATTCAGAGAGTTTTTTTTTCTATTTACTTATTGAATTGGGGAAACATATGACCAGAGCTAAGCCTGATTTTCTTGATGTATAAAATTAAGAGGAACAATACCTCTTAGAACAGCATAATGCTTCTGGATACACAGTGAAGATATCTGCATATATCTTAGATATGCAGCATGCCATATACATGTGCCACTGCAAGTGACAGTGATGCCCACAGATTTGATGGCCTAGGTATGCTAGGAAATGGTACTCCAGGGTGGTAAAAGAAAGAGTAATTCAAACAGAAATATGAGCACAACATGTTCTTCATATTACACATACACTGATGTTTCACCTACATAACTCCACAGCCATTGTTAAGGTAATAACACACTACCTCAAGGGGTTAAGGTTTCATTACATTTTTAAGGACTAACAGGTGTGCCCCATATGGCTTGCCAAATACTTCATGATGAACTGCAAAACTAAACTGTAAACTCATTATTCACCCCCTGGATCACACTGCACCTGGCCAGTGAAATGGCAGTATTGGGATTTGTTTGGTTGTCCTTACTTGAATGCTATGGACCTCAAATCACCATGGTGGTGACTAATCTACACAGCACCAAAATATTCTTGTGGCCTCAATGAAAGCATACATGCTATATAAAAGTGGGCAAGGGACACGGTGTAATACATGAGAACTCCTGTGCTTTCTCACAAGGTATTCAGACCCGCAGAACAGTAAGAGCTAACACAAGCATCAAAGTAGTTATGTACAGGGATGGCTTTTTAAGGATGGGCAAAATTGTCAATGTCTATTGGGTCTTTCACAATGTTGGGTCTATCTAGGTCCCTCACTTTGTGATATGCCTTGAAGAATCACTAAGCAAAGTCTCTACCACCTGGTCTCCCTCAGTTCATTTGCCAACTGGGCCTTTATCTGTAAAACTACACCTGGTCACACTGAAACTTAATTACATTTCCAGACACATATAGTGACATGAAAGGAACAAACCTCCTTTACTGTTTGCTCCATAGTTTGCCTACCATATGGCATTTCTAAATATAGAATCCACAAACCTAAAATGTATTCTATAACTAGATTAAAACAGAGGAAAGGGAACAACAATGAAAGCTTCTGAGCCAATCTCAAATAGAAGGAAGTGACAAGGGTTTGATTTGTTCTGGTAGCAAGGGTGGGTTCATATCAACTGTCATGGTTTGGCACTAGCTGCATCTTTGACCCAATCTGGTCTCTCTAAGTGCACCTTCTCATGTGACAGCCCTCTCACCTTCACCTTTCTCGGGAGTGGAATCCTGGCATTCTCCCACTCGCAGACCAGGTCTCGGACTTAGCCCCCTGTGTACCAACCACAATTGCTCAGCTAGCCAGACTGGGTTTGGCACTTCCAATTCTTCCCATTGGAACTGTGACCAGTAGTGAATACAGTAACCCAAAACAGGCTTCTTAAAACCAAGTATTGTTTAATTGTAACAACAGGAACACAGCATAATGGGAGAAGAGAATTTTAAAACAACAAAATGTTTATTTTACTTAAAATCTGACCATCCTGAAATGAAGATCTAGGCAGGTGAAGCTTCCTCAAGGCATCCCAGGGCCATCTACCCCCATCAATAGAGTGCAGTATTTTTAAATCCCCCTCTGTCTTTTGATCTCCCCTCCTTCATGGAAGTGTATGTGTGTGACTGAGTTCTAGGAAAGCCAGTCTGGCAAGCCCTCCAACGGGCAGAAATAGAATATTACAGTTAATAATCCTGGGTGTTGCTGCAGAGCTCCTATGTGGGGTATTGTCCATCTTCTTGGGTCCATTTCCTGACCACCCAGATATTGAATTAACCCAATATATGGATGCAATAAACATCTTGACAATACTCAGACCAACATATCAAGCACATAGTTGTGAAGGAAGTGGGTGATGCCTGAATTATTTTATATTGTATGTCCTTCTGTTAGATTGTTATTGTGTGGTTTCCTGTACAATTACAAGGGATTAATCCCAACAGGAGTGGACAGCATGTAAGCTAGAAAGCAGACAATACTTGCACATAGACCCATTTGCTGATATCTAGAAAATTAATGCAGAACATCAATTGCTTTGAAGTATACACCTGTTTCTCCCCCTGGACCCCTGTGGACCACATAAAACAGTGTAACCAGGTTCAAGAGACACAGGGCATTGACAAAGACTTTAGGAGTAGATAAAAGGGCAACCCCTGAAGAAAAGGGAGAGAGACAGAGTTTGCATGGATGCTGACTGTCCTCTCCAGATCAAAGAGGTGGGGCACCTGGGATAAACCTTACCTAAAGCATTAGGTAAGACAGATATGGGTTTAAACTGTTTATTGTGTTAAAAAATCTTTTTCTGTTATGCTTTGTTCCTGTTTAGATTAAGCAATACAGAGGCTGTTGTTTGGGTCACTGTATTTACCAGCTCCTGAAGGGAAGAATTGCAGGGACTGAACCCAGTCAGGCCTACTGAGCAGTCCTGGTTGGTCCATAGGAGGCTGTAGTCCAAAAACCAGCCTGAGGCCAGGTCTATATTAAAAAGTTAGGTGGTCCCAGCTATGTTGTACACGGGTGTGAAAAATCCACCCCTCTGAGTGACACTGTTAAACTGACCCAGCGCTAGGCCAATGGAAGAATTCTTCCATCAACCTACCTACCACCTCTGAAGGAGATGGATTAACTACAGCAATGGGAGAAACCCTCCCATTATTGTAATGATTGTCTACACTGAAGCAAATGTCTATGCTGAAGTGCTACAGCAGCACTGCTGCAACGTTCCTAGTGAAGACATAGCCTATGAGTGGGAGAATCATGGGATTCCACCCCAGAGGGAAGTGAAGACACAAGGCCTGTCACTTGAGGGGGTAGATTTAGAGAGAACAGAGAGAGGGGTCAAATATGCCCTGAACTGTGACAATAGTATTGATAGATTATTAAAGGCAACCCTGAATCCATCATATAAAATTCTGAATGTAACACACAATGCAGCTTCAGGGGTTAATAATAATAATAATAGTTAGCACTTTAAGCATCCCAGTTTGGAGCATTTTCCTGCTCATCCCTGTTCTAACTATATAGTGGTGTCTGGGCTGATCTTTGGGACCTGTTTTGCAACATGAAACTTTATTTCGTAGGGGGCTTGGGAAATATCCAAAGTATCCAAAGTGAAGGTAGCAAAGTTCAGTGTGTTTTCTTTTGTTTGTGTTTGTTTTTTCAAAGTAGAGAGAAAAAAAAATTCACTGGTCAGCCAGGGACTCAGGATCAGTCCTCTCTGTGCCTGTTAGAGAGAAAATGAGAATCTTTAGCTTTTAATCTTCTAGGACTTGTGGTGATAGCACTGCTACTTCTCACAGTCCCTTTGCCATTTCTTCACCTCCTACCACTTGTACTTTTCCCCACAACCCCATTTTTTAAAATCACACAGTGGCAGCTACAGAGGATTGGGGAAAAAAATGACATTTCCATGAAAAATCTGTCCCTTTTCTTGCAATCCCCTCCCCCCCATTTGGAATTTTCCAACAAACTCCAGCAGCTCACTGCAGCGGATGGGAAATCGGGTTCATAACAAAACCCATTATTGCAAGTGAGTCACAAGGGCATGCAGGGATCCAAAGGATCGGATTATATGCCCACCCTAGGCTAGGATCGCCACTTTATTGGAAGTAGCTATCCTGGCTGGGATAGCAGTAAGGATGCTCAGTACCCACTGTCAGCTCTCCAGTTTTACGGGTCAGTCTCACCCCAGATGGCTGGTGGTTTTTTCTGTACCACGGAGATGGCACCCCTGGAGGGTCCCACGGGCATTGGTGCCTATGCAGCTGTAACTCAGATCAAAGCTGGCACAGCCCTGCCTGGGCCCCACTCGCCCTGGGGGGAGGGCTCTTTAGGGGAGCTCCTGGGACGCGCTATGAAGGGCAGAGCGGGCTCAGGCCTTCCACAGCTCACCCCCCTCCTGGCTCGCGCGTCACGTACCACCCGCAGCCTGGCGCGCGGCCGCCCCACCTCCACGCGAAGCCTCCAGCGAGCGACCTAAACCCGCGGGGCGGAGACAGACAGCGAGCGAGCCGCGCCGGCGCCATGCGCTTGGCGGAGGGGAGCCGCGGCCATGGCGGTCCGTGCCGCGCTGCAGCGGAGCGTTGTGTCCCCGGCGGGCAGTCACCGCGCCTCGGTGATCCTGCTGCACGGCTCAGGTGCAGGCCTCCAGGCTTTATGTCCCCAGGCACTTGCAGGGGGGCGCTAGGCTGGGGCCAGTCCGGGGACCCTGCCCCACTCTGCAGGGGTGGGGGCCGCTGGGCTGGGGCGAGCCACGGGGCCCCTACCCCACTTTGCAGGGAGGTGGCTGAGCTCGGGCCTTAGGGGTGTGTTGTCCAGTAGTGGTTAGTGCACAGGTATGGACCATCCTGAATTTAGGCTGGAGGCTCAGGGCTTTACAAGGCTGCCCAGAGGATTCAGGGGGCCTGGGGCAAAGCAATTTCGGGGGCCCCTTCCATAAAAAAAGTTGCAATACTATAGAATACTGTATTCTCGTGGGGGCCCCTGCGGGGCCTGGGACACATTGCCCCACTTCGCCCCCCCCCCCGGCGGCCCTGAGGCTTTACTGATGTGAGTGGCACCCATACCTTTAATGAGATGACTCCTGTGAGTAAGGGCTCAAAATCACACCCTTGACCTCACTATGCCTCATTAGTCTCCACCTGTAAAATGGCAATAGGGGCAGTAGAGGGACTCTGTCAGTTTGAAATCTAGACAATTTTTAAAACAGTTAAAATGAGTTGAGGTTCTGTATCTGCTCCCAAATTCCCATGCTAGTTTTTGTGGTTTTACACGCACAATTTCCTCCCCTTTCAAAAATGGTTTTTTCTCTCCCCTGCTGCAGTCTGCACACAAATAACAGGGAAACGAAGGGTACAAATCCTGCAAATACTTAGGCCATGTCTAGACTAGGATAAAAGATGTGGTAGCTAACATCCTAACTGATGCATTTTAAAAGTCTAGTGTAGACAAGGTGGGATGTATTTTAATATATATACATAAAGCTGAGGCTTCTCCTCAGCTTTAACTTGACCAGTTCAACATGTGTTAAAGGTATGTGTTAGCAAATATAATATTTATCCTAGTCTAGACAAGGCCTTAGGTATATGGATAACTGAATTCATGCAGGGGATTACCTTCATAAGTAAAAAATTACTTATGTGCACAAAAAATTTATAGGATCGGAGTGACATTTTCAAAAGTGCCTAAATCAATGGGACTGGTGCTCCTGTATCATGTACAGGTCTGTCACATCTTACGCGCATTTAACATGTACAATTTCAGCTTTACGCGGTCAGCAAAAACAAAAAAGAGAAAAATAACAATTTTAATACTGTACCTGTAGTGCGGGCAATTCTGCCCGCCATTACACTGAATGTAATTTTGACTATACACGATTTTCGCTTTACGCTCTGACTGCGGAACGTAACCCCAGCGTAAGATGCGACAGATCTGTAAATGCTTTTGAAATCCCCAACCCAATTCTTACCTGACCACACAGGTGAAACGTTTAAACTAACTATATGAAAAAATGTTTTTTAATTGCACAGAGTGAACAAACTGAAAAAATATTTCCTCCATTATAAGTTATAGTCATTTTAGGTGTTGCTTGTAACAACATTAGGTTAAAAAATATAACATCAGGTGGAAGTGTAATCTTGAAATTGACTGTCTCTCTTTAATTAATTAAGTGTATGCATGTTTGCTGGATTGAGGCTTTAGGAATTCATTCTGTTGTGGTGTCTACAGGCATCTGTCAGTGCTTGAATTAGATCTCTTAAAAGTTGTTTTACTGATATATATGTATAAGCATGATGTTTATATTTGATTTGACAAAGTATTCATATGTGTATTTATTTTTATAATCCAATTTGAATTTAGTTTATTAAACCAGGATTGTCAAAACTGTTTTGATTTCACAAAGCATACAAATGAAGGGGAGTTAATACAATATGCTCAGCTTCTCCTGTTAACTCTAATACTTTAATGCTGAAGGAAATAATTTCCTCTTATTTTGTAGAAGTGGGGGAAGATTATGGTTAGAAGTTGATTCCACAAGTGGTTTAAGCACTGTACAATTTTTCATTTTTGTTATAACTCTACTCATAATATTTACAATGGAGCTGTAAGGAAAAGTAAGAGTGCTCTTTTATCTGGTTTTATTTAACAGTTCTGCAGGGTGGGTTCCAAAGCAGGGGTAGCCAGTTGTCTTAGTATGGGCTGGTATGTTACATTGATGCCCTCTGGACAGAGCAACAGCTGAGTGGCAATCCCATGCCACCAATTAATTGCAATAAGAAGACGAGTTGACCCCAGATTGAATGGGAAGGTAGCGGAGAACTCCCCATGCAGTAAATCCAGTGTTAGCATCAAGCAATATAGTAGTTGAGCAAGAAAAGCAGTGGTCTGGAGTCAGGCCTTAAATCTGTAGTCATTTTGTAGACAGCTACTCAACTCTGTGTATGTGTCTGAGAGAGACATGGAGGGTTGGAGAAGTTTGGCCACTCATGGTTGAAAGGGAAATTAAAACTTGTATTTTTATTTTAAAAGGAAAAGGTAGCAGTCGGTACCACAGCTAGCTTATTTTAGCCGCAGGCTTTGAAATAGGTCCCTGAAACTGAATTGGTTGTGCATTATTCATTCTTCTTAGTACCGTTCAGAAGACAAGTTAGTGTTAAAATAGTATGTAAAAATGTCTGAAGTCCAGCACTTTTTGATGTGTGCTTCTTACATAACAGAAATTAGTTGCATCCAAATGGGAGCCCTGGTAATTATGACATTGTTAGGGCGATGATGGAAATTGGTATGTGAGGGTCAAAGTCTCTTAACTAATGAGCCTTCTGCAAGCTCTTCAAACAGACTAAGGGGTAGTCAACACTAGAAGCGCTACAGCCGCTGGTCTACACTAGAAGACGCTCTATGCCGAGCTTTCCCGTCAGCATAATAAAACCATGTTTGTGAGAGGCAGTAGCAATGTTGGCGGGAACTTCTCCCGCCAACATAGTGCTGCCAACACCGGAGCTTAGTTTGGTGTAACTTAAGCCGCTCGGGGAAGAGGAGTTTATTCACACCCCTGACCAAAATAAGTTATACTGACATAAGTGGTAGTGTGTACAAGCCCTGGCTCCCCGCTTTATGCATGCTCCTGCTGACACTCAAAACTCATGAAATGTCAGTAAAGAAAGGGGAGATGGGATGATATCTCCTGGATCACAAAGAAAACATATAAAGATCTATGGCCCCAATCCTGCAAATGCTTATAAGCATGCACGCTTAATTTTGATTTGCAGAATCAAGGCTTATGTTCTCTAATGAAGGAAAGATATTTGTAGGGAAAGGAATTTTATTTTCAAGCTTTGAAAAGTATTTTGTTAATAGTGTATCTTAGAAAACCCATATGTTCCAAATTTGACAGTTGAAAACTAGATTTGCTTCAATTCCAGCCTAACCTAGTCGCATGATTAAAGTTACTCATGAGCATGTTTGCAGGAATAAATCCACAATGGGTTCCTAGTTATGTCTTTAATTTGTATATAGATTTTTTTTAAAATGGCAAAGTCAAAATAAACACTGTACAATTTTTGGGCCCAATCCTGGAAAGACTTACTATTGAGGCTAGCACTTACTACTGTGAGTTATTTGTGATTTGACATAAATAGGGCTATTCATAGAACATTTTGTGCTTGGCAGTAAGCAGTGGTAAGACAGGGTCCTTTTGCCTTCCATTCATTAACTGAAGCATAATCCCAGTAGTATTTATTTATATTTTATTTTGTAAATAATGTCTCGGGGGCTTTCTTTGTTGAAACCTAAAGCAATAAAAAGCCTTTTCCACGGAAGGGCTTGTCTTCACTGCAACAGTTACGTTGAGTGAATACACTGGAGTTATCTCACTCAGGTTAGCCTGGCTCCATTGAGAATGACTAGGGTGACCAAATGTCCCGATTTTATAGGGACAGTCCCGATTTTGGTTTGTTTTTTTTCCGTATATAGGCTCCTATTACCTCCCCACCCCCTGTCCTGATTTTTCACACTTGCTGTCTGGTCACCCTAAGAATGACTATCCTGTGAAACAATACTTCAAGTACACAGTGATTTGGATTAGTAGCACAGAGTGATTGGATTAGCCACTGATCAGTTTCTGTAACTCAAGATGCTGCTTCCCCATTGCTTTATTTGCTGGAGTGTCAGTACCACTAGAGCGTCAACCCATTTCCCTGACTGGTCAGCTAGCTCCAATTTAAAGAAACACTTAACTCAAGTTAGACATTTTTGTGTGTTTGGATGAGAGTTGGATAGGTTAGGGACAAAACTCGAGTTATACATTGAGAACACTGCAGAACATTTTAAAGGAGGAGAAAATGAATGTTTGTTTGATGTTTGTAAGGCACTTTGAAAACATTGAATCTGCAAGGATCCACACATGTGGACCTGCTTGTAGGATCACAGATTAAACTGTTGTTGGGTGTTGGCCGGAGCCACAAAATTCAGACCCTGATCTCAGCCAACTCTAAGAAAGGGACTGGTTTGGATTCAGGATTTTGATCAGCCTGTCATAATTCTAGGAGCCAGATGTTTGGATCTAGGTTCATATTTTGAACTCCTTTTTACCAAGAGTTCAGGGGAATTTGGATCTTAGATTTTAGGTGAAGTCTATTTCTAATAAAATCATCACATTTAATTATTATTTTCAACTGCATTTTGAGGACTGTTCATTTAAACCTTTGTAATTTAAAAAAAAAATGAAAATAATAAAAGGCATTTGTTTAAATGAAGACACCAACTGACAAGCTTTTGGGTTTGTTATTTTACTTTGTATTTTCTTGCATTCCCCTGTGGGTTTTTTATCACTTTACTGTTAGTGGATAATTATCTAGGTTATAAGAAGGACACAGGATTTTTGTGGCCAATTGGGAAATCAATGGCAGTAGTGCTGTAGCAAAATGTTTATAAAAGCAATAATATGTAGCCCCTTTAAGAGTGTGATCAGAGAGGTGTTGAGTACGTCCTGTTTTCAAAGAGGGTTGAGGGTTCTTAGTACTTTTAGAAGTTGCTGAGCAGCTTGCAGGTTCGAGTTTGTAAATGAAGTGAATTTCAGGTATAAATATTTTTGGCATTGCATGGTGCTACCTATAAATACATGGAATATCATTTCCTGTGTGTTTGTATTATGCAGGTGACACTGGCCCAGGAGTAAGAGCGTGGATCAAACAAGTTCTGAATCAGGATTTGGTTTTCCAGCATATAAAAGTAATTTATCCAACAGCTCCTGCCAGGTATTGTGCAATGCCTTTTACTACTAAGACTAAATTCCTCTAATCTTCTGACAAAATCATTGTTGTGAAAATATTCTTATACCTTTGGGTACAGGTAATGCTATGTTTTTGCAAATCTTTCTGTACTTTTTTTTGGTGATACTTGGAGCTCAATAATGCTTTGCAACCAGAGGACCCTATTTTTAAATGCATGAGATTTTATGTAGGACACGCTCTTCTAATTCACATTAAAGCCCTGTCTGCATTACAATTGAATTATTCACAAGAATAATATAGATAGGGATTTTTCTCTGATAGGCTGTAACCATGTTTTATTAAATCATACTCCAGACTACCTCCATACCTATAATTGTTCCCATAAATCTATTACCAAAATTAACCAAACACTTCGCTCTACTTAATATCACACTTTGGTTCTGACGAACAATAGTCCTGTGTGACTGGTAGGAGAATTTGCCTTGTAGTAAATATATAGTTAGGAGCAATGAAAGGATCATCTTCAGCTATTGGTGACAGCAATGGAAATTAAAACATTTGAATCACAAGGTTGCTTTGGTTTTTAATTTAGAATAATTGGGCACAGAATCAATAAAAATTGAGTCCAGCTTCCTCATCACAGGTGACTGCATTTGCAAGACCCATTATTATTTGTTTAGTCATAGTAAAGTGCCACAATGTGCTTAGTGGTGTATATATACAGGAAATAGAGGGAGTTAATGATATTTGCCCTGAGGAGTTTACAAGCCAGGACCAGCATTTTCAGACTTGACTGCCTAAAGCTAGTTACTTAAATCCATATTTAACTATCCAAATAAATGGCTTGATTTTCAGAGATAAGCCAAACGCCTCTGAAAAATCACGCCACTTATTTGAGTATCTGATGACCTGATTCAGGAAAGCACTTCCATTGAAGTCAGTGAGACTGAAGCATATGTGTAAGTGGTTTTTTTTTTTTTTAGTCAGGGCCTAAATATGGATTGAGGTATGAATTTTAGGTACCAATGTTTGAAAGCTTTTGTCCTAAGTATGTATGTGGGGTGGGGTTTGTGACATCTCATGTAGGCTTTCAAGGACCAGAAGTTTGAGAGAGTTTTCATTGAATTGGTTCAGGTGGTACAAAAACAAGTAATAATAATAATAATAATTTGTATTATGGTAGCACCTCCTAAGAACGCTAATCATGGGCTAGTATCCCATTGTGCTAGGTTCTGTACAGACACAGGGCAAAAAGACAGTCAAGATTTTGTTTGGCTCATCACATATCTATATAGAAACAGTCCTTGACCCAAGGAGTTTACAGTCTAGTTGTTATGCATGCAACATAACTGACTCATTGTACATGGATGAGAGCAACTCAGGGTTGTGGAGAAAACTTGCACAGGCCATTGCTGAAAATCTTTGTGGAAGAAGTGTATTTTGTGGAGGGATTTAAGGGAGGTAGTTCAATAGGTCAGCTCCACTATGGGCATGATTTTATTCAAACAACATACTGCTCCCTTGACAGCTAGGCTAAGTGTGCAGCTAGTGTTATCCGTGGGGCCCAAAAGGCTCCATCCTCTGCATGAATATTGGCAGTAGATGCAGGTTTGCTATAATTAACTTCTGTAATGTTCCTCCTTCAGCCTTCCTGTGTGTGTCCTATGTGGGCTAAATGCCTCAGGCCACATCTATTTGGCCACTAAAGTTCCACTTTCTCATTCCAGCATGTCCAAAGCTACAATCTTGACCTATTATTTTATTTTTGTAGATAACTACAGCTATAGGCAACATTATACATGATTAAATCAGTACATGTTATGATTTACCAAGGAGCTATTTTTTACTTGCACATAGATTAGTAAGGTCATTAGTAAAGATGACATGTAAAGAAAGATTCTAGATTGTCATGTAAAAGGTATGAATAAATAGTTGCCCTGTTTCAGTCAAGTTTACTCTCATTATTCTTTTCCAAAGCAAACTGAGGTCAAGCATGATTTGATTCAACTTTGCAGCTTTTAGCATGATTTTTCCATCTTGTTCTCCTTGTGTGAAAGGGATATATCCAAAGAAAAATACCTGTAGTGCGTTTGTCTTTGATTGGTAACTGAGAAGTACATTATAGAATATTGCTTTACAGCCCCCTTGTTCCAGTTAAGCACCATTAACTGACACAGTGAAATAAAACAGATGCACTTAAGTACAGTAATGCTTGCCACTGTTTGGAGCTATATACAAACAAAGGAAGTTTGTAAAAGTATGCTTTACTGGTTGCAATATAAATAACAAAAACCTATATTGGCCAAGCAAAAGTTATTTTGGTGTTTAAATCTAATGCATCTTATATACTTTGTAAAGTCTGTAATGGCTTTTCTTCCCTCTTTCCATAGAAAAGAAAAATCAAGGCCAAAAATATCAAATTGGAGTGACAAATGTTAGGCTCCTCCATCCATATTTAGGAACCTAAATATATGGCCTGATTTTTTTTTTCCCGTGGTACTGAGCATCAGTTAAGGTTTTCAGTACCTCTGAAAATCAGGCCTTACATTACCCAATAGTATGTGTCCAAGTATATTAAGGCCCTGATGCTGTGGTTGATAACCTATGAGGGGATGGTTGTGTCTAAGTGGAGCTCTGTTGACATCCATGTAGTTCTGTGCAGGTTAGCAATCCACAATTGTGCATCAGAGCATAACGCTTATCGGCAGTTTTGACCCTAACGATTAAAAGCAAAAAGAAGCTGCGGAAGTTAGGCATGCCTATAAATGTTGCCTGAATTTTTTTTAAGGGACCTGACAAGGAGTAGAACTTGTAATTTTATCATGCTGTCATGGAATTTTTTTTTAATTTGTTTTATTCCAGCACTGAAATAATTGTTTTTTCCCCTCCTATTTTCTACAGGAGATACTGGAGCTTAACTTATCCCTATCACCCTTAACTGTAACTATCATGGACCGAGCTCCTTTGGAGCAACCAAAGAACATACTCCAGAATAAAATCCTAAAAACATATTCATCCTGCATGATTAGCTTTTAAAATATAAAATGATTTAGTGTCGATTGAGGACTGATACAAGGCAAACTCTACTCCTGAGGGAATTCTGCACCAAAAAATTAAAAATTATGCGCAAAACATTTTAAAATTCTGCAAAAATCTGTGTATTTTATTTGTTAAAATAACACAATATAATCACACCATTTTTAATTGTTTGTTGACAAGTATTTTGAAATAAATTACCAAAATAATTGAAGATGGTGTGATTACATTGTTATTGTGTTACTGTGTTATTTTGCAGAACTTTGCAGAATTTTAAAATTTTTAATTTTTTGGCACAGAATTCCCTCAAGAATACCAGGGTTCTGTGTGGCACAGTCTGGGTGCGGGCAGCTTGTGGGAGGGTCTGGGTACGGGGAGGAATCTGGATGCACAGGGGCTCGGTGCGGAGTACTAGGTGCAGGGGGAATGGGACTCTGCAGGAGAGTCCAAGTGAAGGTGGTTAGGGCTCGGGGGGAGGGAAGGCTGGGCGAGTGGGACTTGGTGGGGGGGTCAGGTGCAGCTGGTTGGGGTTCAGTGGGGTGGGGGTCTGGGTATGGGGGGCCCCTGATGCGGGGGATGAGGCTCAGCAGAGTGGGGGCTTGGTGGGGGGGGGTTCTGGGTGCGGGGGGCTCCTGATGCGGGGGGGGCTCTGGGTGCATGGATGTGGGGGAGGAATCACTGTACAGGGAGCTGCTTCCCCTGTCCGCCCAACCCCTGTGCATCCAGTCCCCCCCCCCACCAGCCAGCCCCCCCACTGAGCCTCCCACCCCCACCCCCACACACTGTGCAGAGCTCCTGCAGCCAGGGGAAGTTTCTGGGTGTTGATCTAACCCAGCACCTGCAGCTCTGTGCAAGGAAGGGAAGGGGGAGGGGGAGGCATCCCCAGACCTCCCTGCCCCCAGTGATTTACCTCTCTCACAGCTGCCCAAACAGACATGTCTGAGCTGCCAGGGAGGGGTGAGTGAGCACTGATGCAGATTCTCTTTGCTTCCCCACAGAAACCGTAGAATTCCCCCAAGAGTAAAACTCTTTAGGGAAAAGCCTTATATAATAGGGATGAAAGCAATAAGATGCTAAATAAATTATATCAGTTTTTATAATTGTTTTTAGCCAGTCTGTAGAAGTGGTATAATTCTGTTATTCTATAGAAGGTTTAAAAATCCCGGAGAAAGATTATCATTTTTTTTTATTACACTCTTCTGTAATGGAAGCTGACTGCCTTCAAATATCTGAGTTGCCTGCTTTTTTAAAAAAAAAAAGTCTGTATAATATGGCTGGCTCTCAGTTGCTAAAAACAAAGTATAATTTTAAAATTTGTTTTACTTTAAAATATATATACATATATGGAAATAATTCTGGTATAAGGAATTAGATTAACCACCCTGGAGACTGAAGGCCTTCTATCCCCAGAACAGGTATAACATGGACAGCAACTTCCTTGTACATCCTTACCAATGTGTCTTCTGGGGTATTTCATTTGAGGTGCTGAGGGCCTCAACTGCTTTCTGGCTTCAGGTGTCGATAGGCATGTTGATATCAGAAGATGATTAAATATAGAAGTCATTTGAATGAAGAAGTTGACTGAAGACACCAGTTGAGGACACTGAGTACCTTGCAGAATTTGGCCCTCATTCCTTGATGTATCTGTTGTGACTACCAACACGGCTGCCAATTAGTGCCATGTTGGATTTTTTAATTGGTCACTTGTCCTTTAAAAAGTGGGAATGTACTACCAAACAGTCATCCAACGATAGCTTCAGTCATTACTGATGTGGCGCTAGATTTTTTTGTTTGTCACCAGTCTTCGGAGCCATGCAGTGCCTCATTTTAATGTTCTTTTAAAAAACAAAACAAACCGTTCCAATGACAAGTACTTCAGCCACGTTCCTGTTTAGCTTTTGTTCTTGACATTAAATTGCACCAAATTTTATAAAGGCAGTACAATAGCTGCCAGGTCCCAGAGTAAGCTACTTAGTCCATGGTTAGTC